ACTAGGTACAACTGTGGTTAATAAGTCCAGCTTACCCGAAGTAGTGTGGTATAGCTGAGGTTAAGAAAAGACCAGAAGGAACCCGGATATAAGAAATACTTACCTACGGACACCAAACCACCGACCAAATCTAAACGCCTCTTTTCGATAAGCCTACCGTAGGTTACGCAAGGAATTGGATTGTTGAGCGACTGACTCGCCGTTGGCCCGGTTCTCAATATATAAAATTTCGTTATATATATATATCTTTTTCAGTGCCGCTCACTTCACTGACAGTCATTTCACCGAAAGTTTATTTAGCTGACATCACATGGGATTAGGTTTAGGGTTTTATTAGGTTCAGGTATATATTTTTAGTAAATTGTCACTTGGCATGATGTCAGCTAAATGAGCTGTCTGTCGATGAAATGATTGTCGGTGAAATGATACGGATCCATATTTTTTATATAATTTTAGTTTTTTATATAAAAAATTTTCTCTTATTCTTTTCCTTTTTTATAATAAAAATTTTTTTTTAAAAAAATCGAAAGTATCAATATGATTGGATGGGATTTATTTGAGGATTGCAATCCAGGACCGGGTCCTGGGACCGATTTATTGATAGATAAGGGATCTAGATCCTGGACCGTCCTAGAGATCCTAGGACCGGACCGGACTGAATTTGCAATTTAACATCCCTAACTGTATTGCATATTAATTTATTGCTATTTAAAATGCCTAAACTATTATTAATAATTGTCACATAGTTTCTGGTCAACCTTTGACTTAATACAATGTTAGGTGAATTATGGTTGTAGTGCGAGCCAACATTAGGAACAATGACGTTGACTATGTTCAATGACAGATCAATATCAATGAATGACATGCAAATAGTTTAAGGTAGTAATAGCGAAGTTAAATATATTATGTTGCATAAAATTATGTAATGATAGAGATAATATAAAAGATAATTGTGAAAGTAAGAAAAGTGAGCGAAAGAGCGAAGATTAGTTTGGTTATCGTTTTGACATAGTGAGGGTCGTTAGTATTAGAACACTACCAGTAGCTAGATAACAGTAACTACGTCTAACCCCGTGACAATAATTTAAAGGTTTTAGTGGCAGCCAGCTCTCACATTTTTATAAACCTAATTTAATAACAAATATTAGATAATATAAATATAGAAATAGAAGGATTATAATAAAAATTCTTTTCACGTAACATTGGAGGAACGTGAAATGCACTATCTATTTCTCATGTATTATATCATAAAATATTTAGTATATGGAAATTCTGAACACATAAAATAATCATCTCCGATCCGATACTTCAGCTATTGTATAACTATTTTCTAGATTGTAAGACTTTTATTATATCATAGAATTAACGATTGATATTCATATTACTTCCCATCTTTAATAGATAGATTTAGAAGTCCCGAATCTGATAATTGTGAAATAATGCAGTGATTAAAGATAACAATAAATACATATTGAAAATTCACGTATTGAAAATTTACCAAAGTTTTTGGTTGATTCGGTTTGTTTAACTGAAGTTTTGGAATCATCGCCATCTAAAATTTTATTATTAGATAAGTAACTACAAAATTAATACGGTACCGGACAGTAAAACACATCCACTTTTTATTACTAAAAACTTTAAATTGTTATAACTTTTTTAAAACAAACAATCAAAAAACCCTCTGACAAATTGGTAGATTTTTAACTAAACTACATTTCTGTCAGAGAATTTTTTTCTTATTCTGTTTTAAAAAAGTTATAAGAAGTTTAAGTTTATAATAGATTAAAAAATTAGCGTTTAATATAAGAAAAGAGAGAGATATTTTTAACCAATTAGAATTATTTATACCAAAATTAGCCAATCAAAATTATTATAGTATAGATTGGATGTCTTTTACTATCCCGTACTATATAAATTTAAAACCAAATAAAGGAGAAATGACCTTCTGAGACTATTTAGATTTTATGAATAAAATTAAAATTTACCAGCGATCTAGTAATCCAATTTAAATAAACTTTTTTTTTTTTATTTAATAGAGTTCACTAAGCTTTATGAAATAAAAAAAAGTTTATTCAAATTAGATTACTGGATCGCTGGTAAATTTTAATTTTATTCATAAAATCTAAATAGTCTCGGAAGGTCATTTTCATAACAAAGATCCTATATACCCTTAGTATTAGTCACCGTGTCAATATTTGGCATGGTTTCAAAGTTCTTCATCCTTTCTAATAACCTGCATAACTCATCATACACAGAGTCAGCGTCTGGACGTTCATGTGGATTATCATCCCAGCATTTGCTATACAGGTTCATATATTCTTCAGGAGTACCAAAAATTATTTCTTCCTTGACACCTTCAATAATGTTATTGTATAAAAGGATATAACTTGATAGACTTTCAAATGGTGGTTTACCACTAGATAATTCCCAAAATATCATTCCAAGGCTATAGATATCCGTCTTCTTGCCATATGGTATATTATCTAATTTGGACCACTTAAGTAATTCAGGAGCTAGAAACGGAATCATTCCAAATAGGTTATTGTGTATATTTGTTTCTGTATTAATACTTTTAGCATTCCCAAAATCAGTTATCTTTGCTTTGCTATTATGGATTACAATATTTTTATCATGCTATTAAAGGTTTTTTTTGTTAGATTAAAATATTAAATTTAAAACACGAACAGGAAATGTCATTACCAAATCTCTGTGAATAATTTCTTCACTGTGTAAATAACATAACCCTTTTGTGATCTGACAGGCCAACTCCAATCTTTGATTCCAATTTAACAAATGATTATTTTTTTTAAGAAATTTTCTTAAATCCCCATCATTTGCATATTCCATTATAAAGAAATATCGATTGTATATAGTATCTGCATCATAATATAATCGATCAATTAGTTGTATATAAAAATGAGACCATATAAAATTAGTTACAACTAAAAAAGTGCTGATGACCGAATAGTAAAAGTTTTCTGATATTGATCGATTCAGAAATTGTAATTGGTTTTTTTAACTCTGCCGGGTCAAAGTTTGAGAACTTTCAGAAAGATTTTTTATATGATTATTAATAATGTGTGGATTTTTTTAAAAATGTTATAGAAACTGATATCGGAGTCATTACTATAATTACCGAAATCGACCGATACAGAATGTATCGATTTGGTTATCGGCAATTTTTCGGTTGTTCCAGGAATATAAAAAAAGCGGCCGTATGAAAACCAATAAAATAAATTTATATAGTAGAATAGAGTACCTTTAGTGACTCCCAAAAATCGAATAATATTTTCACAAAGATCTGATCTAGTTTGCATTGTTAATTCATGAATAAATGCGGCATAGTATTTGTCGTTTATATCATTCATATTTGTTAATGTCTTACAAACGACATAATTATGTGATTTTGTCCAATAGGCTTTGATTATTAATCCTAAACAAATATTATAAAATTATTTTACCATTAATAACTAAACACCAGATGCATACTAACGTACCAAAATGACCTTCGTCAAGTTTTGAAATATTGCTTAGTTCAATCCATGGTATAAACTTTATTGATTTTTTCATGATTTCTTCTTCTGAATTATGAAAATTTTTAACTAATATGTTAAACTGAATACAAATTTTTAAGCTTTAAAAGTATTAAATTACCAATAAGTTCTTTTTCATTTACTTTAGTAAAATCTTCAGGTATTTGTCGGACACCAATTGAATTAATTTCTTCATAAAATATTTCAATATCGCTCTTCCAATTAGTAAGAATCTGACAAATTTTTGATGCAGATGGTCGTTTTGTTGGATCACTATCCCAACATCTTTGCATTAAGTCTGAATAACAATTTATTGTACCTTTATGGATGGTTGGTTGCTTTCCTAATCGAACACCTAATGTAAACGCAGTTTTACTATTAAAAATAATAGATTGTCCTGAAGAAATTTGCCACATAATTATTCCAAAGGAGTAAATATCCGATGCTTTGGTGAACAAATTTCCACTTAGAACTTCCGGCGCTAAATGCGTAATATTCCCAATAAATTGTGGGTTTACCGTCAAAGCCTCATTAACTGATAATGTAAAGCTAATTATATATGCATCATATATGTTATATTGTAATATATTGTTATCATGTAAATTGCAATGAATAATGTCATGTGAATGAATTGTTTGAAGACTATAAGCTATATAGTATAATAAATTTATTTTTTCTATCCATTTCATTCGTGCAACTAAACTAAGATTATGTCGTAAAGAACCTGATGGCATGTATTGGATGACTAAACTATAATCACCAGTGACTTCATCTTTTGATACTCCATAGCATTGAAAAAAGGTAGGATCCTTACATCCAATAATGTAATATGCCTTTAGCTTTAAAAATAAAACTATTAATAATATTGACTAGATTACTATATATATATATATTGTATTGATTTATTAAATCTTTACCTCTTTAATAAGTAAATTGGTGTTATTTCCTGAGCCATGAAATTGTTTTATAACAACCATTTTTGTTCTCGCTCCATTTTTATGTAAATATGTCCATTCTGCAGAATATATAGTAGAAAAGTCGGATTTTCCAATAAATTTGTGTTTATTTTCTAATTCTTTAGATGGAATCCAGAGTAATGGATATTTATTTTCGTATAACGAATTTTTTAGAAACTCAACAAGATCAGTATCTAGATTTTTATTATCTACATATTGTTGCTGCTTACTTCTTGAATTTCCAAACAATCTTGTAGCTTCTTCCATATTTTGAGGTATACCTTTGCCGTTCCTAAAACATAATCCAAGATTAAATTGTCCACTGGGATTGTCCTGTTCGGCTGATTTTAAAAACCATCCAAATGCCTTATTTGCATCTTTTTCAGTACCTATTCCATTTTCGTAACAGCGCCCAAGATTGTTTTGTCCACTAGAATTATCACCTTCGGCGGATTTTAAATAATATTTAAATGCTTTATTTCTATCTTCGATAACACCTATGCCATTTTCTAAACACCAACCAAGATTATTGTATCCTCTAAAACTGCCTTTTTCGGAAGCTTTTAAATACCATTCATATGCTTTTTTTTCGTCTTTGGAAATACCTATCCCATATTGATAGCACCATCCTATGTCGTTTTTTATTTCAGAACTTATATTTTCAGTAGATTTTAAATATGTTTCTAGTGCTTCTTCATTTTTAGTAATGTCTACATTTGAAAATATATTTAGAGATTTTCCTTCTGTATCTGATTCCATTTTACTATTTTGATTAAAAAGAAATGCACTTAGTCGTAAGCATACAATGTAAAAGATATCAATGACGGCATGTACCACAATGTTCGCGTGTTACAATTCACACAGATCAGGGGGTAGATTTTTTAATATGATACTGTATTAGTGATCGATTTCAAGGGATTCCAAAAAGGAAAAGAATAAGGAACCCAGTGATCTACATGATGTACAATGACGTCATTTGTTTACTAGCACTAACAAAATCAGCCTAATTTATACTCTAACCCAGCATGGCGGACATTCGATTTTATTGGCTCATAAAACCCTGAGTCACACAACATAAAAAAAAATTTTTAAAGTAAACTTTACTATGAAAAACCACTTCGTCAATTGGCAACTTTTGGTTTCACATAGTAAAGTTTAACCAAAACGTTTTATAACCTTCCTTTACTCTCAAGATATCTATTGAGCAAAGGTGATCAGTATCGATCTCTATTGTTAAAAACTTTGCTTAGAGGGAAAGTTTTAACGAGGTAAGTATATAATATATGTATTAATTTAGTTTAATAATAAAATATAAAAAAAAAAATCAATAAAAAAAACTTTTATTCATATTAATATATCTAAAGTTCTAAAAGTTCTACGAAGGTCCGGTCTTATGAAACACGACAGCTTTAGAACTGGTGACAAAAATGACAAAAAAGTAGACGATCTAGATCTATAATTTTTATTTTACTGGTAATTTTTTTTTTTTTTTATAGTTTAGATTTAGATCTTTTTGTTTAGTAAATTTTCTATTTTTATTTTTCATATACTTTGGCTTTATTAACTCTTCTTTTCTTTTCTAGATTGTATTTCGCTAGGAATGAAACATAGCGCCAGGAATGATTTGAAATCAGCAGGAACTTGAACTGGTTTAATGGTAAGTATCAGTCTTTGCTCTTTCCTTTTTTTTCTTCTTCCTTTTTTTTCGGGTTGACCAATATGTTCTCTTCTTTTTTTTTAGGTTCGTTCTTCGCTAGGAATGGAGCTTCGGAACTGGGTGAAACTTAGACTGGTATAAAGGTAAGTACCAGTCTTTGTTCTTTCATTTTCTTCTTTCTGGTATATTAACTTGTTCTTTCTTCTCTTTCTAGGTTCGTTCTTTACCAGGAATGGAGATTCAGAACTGAGTGAAACTTGGACTAGTATAAAGGTAAGTACCAGTCTTTGTTCTTTCATTTTCTTCTTTCTGGCTAGTATATTAACTTGTTCTTTCTTCTTTTTTTAGGTTCGTTCTTTGCCTGGAATGGAGATTCAGAATCAGTGGAACTTAGACTGGTATAAAGATAAGTACTAGTCTTTGTTCTTTCATTTTCTTCTTTCCAGCATATTAACTTGTTCTTTCTTCTCTTTTTAGGTTCATTCTTCACTGCGAATAGAGTTTCGGAACTAGATAAAACTTGGACTGGTATAAAGGTAAGTACCAGTTTTTGTTCTTTCATTTTCTTGTTCTCTCTTCTTTTTTCTAGGTTCGTTCTTCGCTGGGAATAGAACTTCAGAACTGAGTGGAACTTAGACTGGTATAAAGGTAAGTACCAGTCTTTGTTCTTTCATTTTCTTCTTTCTGGTATATTAACTTGTTCTTTCTTCTCTTTCTAGTTTTATTTTTCACAGGGAATGGAGATTCGGAACCAAGTGGAACTTGGACTGGTATAAAGGTAAGTACTAGTCTTTATTCTTTCGTTTTCTTGTTCTCTCTTCTTTTTTCTAGGTTCGTTCTTCACTGAGAATGGAGATTCAGAACTGGGTAGAACTTAGACTGGTATAAAGGTAAGTACCAGTCTTTGTTCTTTTATTTTTTTCTTTCTGGCCAGTATATTAACTTGTTCTTTCTTCTTTTTCTAGGTTCATTCTTCACTGGGAATGGAGATTCGGAACCGAGTAGAACTTGAACTGGTATAAAGGTAAGTACCAGTCTTTGTTCTTTCATTTTCTTCTTTCTGGCCGGTATATTAACTTGTTCTTTCTTCTTTTTTTAGGTTCGTTCTTCACCGGGAATGGAGATTCAGAACTGGGTGGAACTTAGACTGGTATAAAGGTAAGTACCAGTCTTTGTTTTTTCATTTTCTTCTTTCCAGCATATTAACTTGTTCTTTCTTCTCTTTCTAGGTTCGTTCTTCACCAGGAATAGAGATTCGGAACTGGGTGGAACTTGAACTGGTATAAAGGTAAGTACCAGTCTTTGTTCTTTCATTTTCTTCTTTCCAGCTAGTATATTAACTTGTTCTTTCTTCTCTTTCTAGGTTCGTTCTTCGCTGGGAATGGAGATTCAAAACTGGTAAAACTTGGACTGGTATAAAGGTAAGTACCAGTCTTTGTTCTTTTATTTTCTTCTTTTTTGAGTATATTATTGTTTTCTCTTCTCTTTTTAGGTTCGTACTTCACCAGGAATGGAGATTCAGAACTGGGTGGAACTTGAACTGGTATAATGATAAGTACTAGTTTTTTTGGATTTACTAATATTTTCTTTCTTTTTTTTTGAAATGATAATTTATGTAAAAATTTTTGGAGAACTATGTGGTAATCGGAATGCTTGTGTTAATAAAATAGACTTAAAAATTTAGTAATCAATCTTTTTTATAAATTTAATGCATATGCATAACTTAAATATAATATTTGCATTACATATATTTATTATATAATGTTAAATATGTGAAACATTAATAATTGTATAATACTTATAAATTTTTGAATATTGTGTTACAAAAAAAATTATAAATATAACCTATGTTCTATATTTTTTTTTGAAAAATTTTGAATTTTTATTTTTTTTTAAATTTAAATTTTTTAAATTTTAAATTTTTATTTAGTTTTAATTTTTATATAAAATATAATGCTACCAAAAAAAAGAAATTTTGGACTATGTGCAATTGAAAATTGTCAGTATGATACTTTAAAATTTCGTACATTTACTAAACTTGCTGCAGAAAAAGCTCAAAATTGTGGAACTTTAATTAAACCTGAATATTCTCATCTTATACCAAATCAATATCAATTATGTGATCATCATTATCTTATTATTGTAGAACCAAATAGAAAAAATTATAATAATTCTACAATTAAACAAAATTTTCAAAATTTACAAAAGTTTTCTGAACTTAAATGGGATGATATTCATTTAGAAATTTTAGATGATAAAGTTTGTATTCCTAAACAAGATTTTTTAAAATTAGTTTCAAATATTGAATATTTACAAGAAAATCAAAAAGATGAAATAATTGAAACTATTAATGAAAGTTCAGAAAATATTCAAACTTTTGAAAATATTGATAAAAATATTGAAGCTAATAGTATTTAATAAATTTTTATAATAATTAAATAATATATATATAACTAAAAAATTTTATATTTTTATTTTTAGAAATAAGTTTTGCAACTAAAATACAACTTCTTACATTAGTTATTTATAATCAACAACAAAAATTTAAAAATACTTTAGAATATAATCCTATTAAATTTAAACAAATGCTAGAAGAAAATGAACCTAAATTAATTGGATTTTTTGATGAATTAGTTGAAGCTCTTATTCCAACAACAAGAAGTTTTTATAATCAAGAAGAAGCAAAAAAATCTATTGTTTCATTTTGTTATCTTTTTGCTGGCTTAAGAAATAAATTTGCAAATAGTTATAAATTAGATATTGGACTTCATTTAGCTTCAGCAGGAACTTCTTATAAAGGTATAGATATTTTAGCAAATACAGGACTTACAGTTTCATCTAAAACTGTATTATGATATAAACAACAAATAGCTGAAGATCATTTTGAAAAAATTAATAAATATTTTAATGAAGAGGTAAATTATATTTTTATTTGTTTTTAAAAATAAAAATATATTAATTTTAATTTATTATTTATATAATTTAGTTAAATTATTTATATATATTTAATCTTGATAATTTTCATTCAATTCATGAAATACGTAGACCAGATGCAACTTTTTTATATTCAGTTAAACATTTTGCAACATGTACAGCTAAAAAAGTTAATTTATCACTACTTATTTTAGCAAATTATAATAATATTTCTTTATTTAATTCAGTTAATATTGATGCACAAAATCTTTGTAGATATTTAAAAGAAAAATATAGTTCATTATTTGATATTAGTTATAATAATTCAAAATCTCAATGGATATCTTATTCATCTTTAGAATTAAGTAAATTTGATAATATAGATAATTTAACAATTCATTTATATAATGATGCTATTTTAAAGCATAAAGATGAAAGATCTATGCAAGATTTAAAACTTATAGATTTTAAAGAATTAGAGTTACATTCATTTAATAATTATGCTGAAGCACTTAAAATGATTATTAATATTCCTTCACTTAATAATTATTTAAATCAAAATGTAATTCCTATAATTACAGATTGGCCAGGACAATTATTTATTAGAAAAATTATTACTTATCTAAAAATTCAGCAATTAATATCAAATATTCCATTAATTTATAAAAATTTTCATCCAATTATTGGTCCTCTTCATGTTGCATTAAATAGCAAAGAAACAGCTTTAATAATTAATTATGAATTTTTTCAACAATTATTTCATTTTGTATTTGGTGATAAAAAAAAATTAGCTAAAAAACCTAAACCTTGGAGAATTAATCTTTTATTAGAATTAGCACATAAAGCATGGCTAAAAGTTAAAAAAATAATTTTACAAAAATTTGGACAATATTGTAAAGTTGTTGAATATAGAATGCTTATTGATTTATTAGATAATATTATTCCTGCTACTTTAGATATTTATGCAATTTTATTTAGATCTGGTTCACATGATGAATATATTGAAACAATTTTTAGAATTTGAACATTTGCATTAAAATGGTCTAGAAAAAATTATAATAAGGCTCCTTTAGCTTTTCTTTCAGATATTTTTTATTGGACAGATAAAAAACATCCTTTTAATGAAACTATTAAAAATTTTTTAGTTCATTTTAATGATTATTATGTAGAAAATATGCATAGTAAAATTAGAGCTTATACAACAAAATATTCTACTACTGATGAAATTATTAGAGAAGCATTTGTTATTGGTAAGTAATAAATAATTTAAATTTTTAATAAAAATATTTTAATTAATTATAATTTTTAATATTAGATTCACATTGTCATGATCAATTTAAAGAAACATTTCAAAATCTAAAAAAAAATTCTTATACACAATCAAGTTTAGAATATTTAATTCAAAAAACATCAATTTTTTTATTAAATTATTTTAAAAAAGTATATTTATCTAAAGAATTAGGATATCAAGATAATAGTTTTAAATCTTTTCATTATTATCTTCCAGCACTTGGAGTTACTGTATCTACAAAACAACTTCCTTGTAGATATTCTACTAAAAAAATTCCATCTTTAAATAATTGTGATTTATGTGATTCTAATTTAAAAGATGAATTTCAATCAGAAGTTTTGATTTGTAGTCATGGATATCATTCAATATGTTATAATATTATGGAAAGAAGATGTAAATATTGTTATGAATATTATGAAGATGGAATTAAAAGAAATGTAAAATCTTTTATAACTAGATTAGAAAAAGGAGCTAATATATTAACTAATGAAGATATTGATATTGAAAATAATGATAATAATAATGATGATAATAATAATAATAATGAAATTGAAGATTTAAATTTAGTATTAAGTGATAAAGATAAAGTAGAAAATGAATTTATTAATAAATTAGTTGATGTTTTAAATTGGTAATATATAAATAAATATTTTAAATATTAAAATATTATAATTTTTTAAACTTTTTTTTTAAAATAAAAATTATAATTTTTAAATTTTATTTATTATATAATTTTTATATTTAATTAATTTATTATACAGTATAAATAATATAAAATTTTTATTAAAAAATAAAAAATAATAAATTTAAACATTATATTTAAAATCTATATTATTTATTTTATTTATTTTTTTAACCAATTAAATTAAATATTTGTTATGCTTATAAGATCTGCATTATGCATATTGTTTACTTTTTTTAACCAATCAAATTAAATGTCTGCTATGCTTATCAAAACAATATCTGATTAGCACTAATAGCGATATAGTAGATTATGACAAAACTTTAGATGAAATTAGTGCATATTTGATGCATGTAACTCTAAATACAACACCAGAAGAAGCTACAATATCTATTAGTACTTCCTTAAAAACATATAGCTCAGTAGTAATAGGTAGGCTAGAACAAAGACTAGCTATTATAGATATAAGAAAAGATAAAGAAACTGCTTGGACACATACTCTCGAACTAGGACTAAAAGACTGGAGAAAGAAAAATTATAAAAACCTAAACAAAGAAAAATAGCACTATAATAGATGTATAAAAAACTTTTCATCTATAGAAAGTCTTGCTAATCTAATATTACACAAAATTCAAATGCTCTTAGCAGAACATCTAATCCCTTTTACAATCTATACTAAACTATACCATAGAGATAATCAATTCTTTAGCATTTTTTCTTGGTCCTCTGCAACAAAACCTCAACACCAAAAAGAATTTAATATTCTCCTAAATATAGCAATAGGAAAATATAAAGATCAACATAATGTTACAATAACAAACAAGACAAATTAAGATAAAATATTTTATAAACTACATCAAAAACTAGGTATAGATTACTTATTATCTCTAGACTTAAATATACTCTTACCAAGAGAAATCACTAGAATAATCTTCTACTTAGCAAGATTTACAAAAATACTAATACTATACAAATTTGATAAAGCTCTAGTACAAATAGACAAATGTCTAGCTACAAACTATCTGCTTCTTTCAGATAACTCTGCAGATATTCCTATATATATCACTTCATGCCTTGACTTTGCTTTACCTGTAACTAACTCTCTGATATAGGAGCTACTGTAAGAGTACTAAGAAAAGTTTTCAACTTTCAACAACTATCTGAGAGCTATATTAAAGACATATGAACTGCTCTCTCTACTAGTTCAAGAAACCTCTATATACAAGTCAAAAACCTATTTCCTATTAAAAAAAGAAGTAAACTAAAAAACCTTCCTGGCTACAGAAAAGCTTTACAAGAATTCTATATCTTTAATAAATTCTAACAAATTATTTTGACCTTCTTGCACCAAAACTACAATTATCACTCACTCCACAAGATCTTTTACTACACTTGCAAACAAAATTTTTATTCCTTCTAAAAAATAGAGAAGACTTACTAGAATATATTAATTTACTTTGCCAAGATTTTGCTTTCTTCAAATTACCTAATGATTAGTTTATTCCAAGATGCAAACTTTCTCTAGAACCAAAGGATCTACCTTATCAAATACCTATACCTTTCTACTTAGCACAAAAGAAGAAACAAAGAAATTTCTTACTGAAATTCCAAAAATCTACATAACTCCATTTCCTTTACCAGAAAGATACTGTACTTGCAACTATACTGACCTTTCTAAGCTTCCAGAAGAGGCAAAAAAAGTAATAGAAGTAAATCTAACACTATCTATAAATACAACAAAAGAGATAACAATAGCATCACAAGTATTACAAGAATTCTACTTTTTCTACAAGATATCTGAATCATGAATATAAATACTTAAAAGAGATAATCTCAATTCTAATACTTAATTTAAACAGTCTAACAAAAATGGCCAGAGAAGAAAATAGATCTCCCAATTACTAAGCATGAAGATATACTACTAATAATAAGGTTTATTACTAAAAACTTCTACTACAATAACCTTCCTAACTTCATTTTTGCTCTTTTTAACTTATTATCTTCTGAATAAGACATATTTGACAACTCTTTACATAGTACCAAGTTAGACAATGATAACATAATAATAGGTAAAACTACCAAGTCAGACCATAAACAATAACATAACTAATCCTACTAACTTCAATAATACAGAGACTTAACATAATAATCCTAATATTAATGAAAAAATCGAAATCACAACTCATAATATTCAAAGACTAAACAACTTAGTTAAACTACAAAATTAAATATAATACTGCAATGAAAATAACTTATATATTATCTCACTAACTGAGACTAAACTCAAAAATACAAATAAACTCAGTTTTACAAATCCAATTTACAAATTTTTTACTTCTAACTTTATTCTATATCAAAAACAACAGAGAGAAACAAGTCTAGGAACTACTTTAATAATACATCACTTATTAATACTATATATAAGAAATATTATAACATACCCTAGAACACTAATCTGAATAGACTTTCAATTTTCTAATAACAATAATATTTGCATAGTCTCAAAATACCTTCGTTCAAACTATAATGAGCTGCTAATAAGAACACAAAGGCAGCTAAACAATTATATAGAAGAAATTAAATCAAAAAACTGGCACTCATTAATCATGAGAGACTTTAATACAAACACTAACACTAAGAGAAAAAATACATAATATTCTCAAAACTACAAATTGCTAGCTTCTCAAGCCTACTAGAATTCTATAATATATTGTCTTCTACTTGGCAGTGACAAGACCTTACTAGTTAAATAGATGATATCTAGGCTTCAAGTAATATTCTACTTAATCTAAGCACTCTAACGTTATCTAATACAATTGGAATTTTAGATAGTAATCACAAAATAATAAATACAACCTGGTAGTATACTTTTAGAAAAATTACTCAAATTTAGAAGTAAACTACAAAGTATTATTCAACCTTATAGGCTTGAAGATATTTTCAATTATGATGAAACTAGTTTGTATTACCAGATGAAGCTTTCTCGTATATTAGCAACAAGTTCAGTTTTAAGAACAAAAAAAGCAAAAGAAAGAGTTACAATTTTATTAACTTCTAATGTAACAGGAACAGAAAAATTAAAACTATAAGTATAAAAACCTACATGTGCTTAAAAATATTGACAAAAAAAAATTACCAGTTGAGTATTTCTGGAACAAGACTACTTGGATGCAAAAATCTATTTGGCAATATTATATAAAAAATTTGGATTCAATGATACGTCTTAAAAATTACCAAATATTACTTTTAATTGATAATGCATTAACTCATGATCTTGAAGACAACATAGTATTAACTAATATAAAAATAGAGCTCTTGTCTAAATATACCACAGCCTATTTTCAACTGATAGATGCTGGGATAATTAATTCTTTTAAAGTAAGTACAATATTACAGGTTTGCTAATTAATTTTATACACTATTATCAATAATATTCTTATTCTAAAAAAAAAAAAGATAAAAAAAAATAATAATAAAAAGAAAATAAAAAAGAAGCAATAAAAAAAAAGTGACAAAAAAAGGAAAAAGAGTAGTTTATTCTTGTTTTAAGGTGTCCTAAATTAGTTTATAAGTCTGTAATATGCTATTATTATATGCTAACCAAATATTTATTTATTTAGGCCAAATATAGATGTTTTCTCATTCAAAACTATTTAGATGTATATGAATTTGTACTTGAAACTCAGTCAGAACTGGTCCCAGTTAATATAAAAGAAGCAATAAATTATTGTGCATTAGCATGGGATAAGATATCAAGTGAAACAATTAGGAATTGTTAGCATAAAACAGAAATTCTTCTAGTTGAATTGAATAATAATTCTTTTTCTCTACAAGAATTCTCACATTATGATGAATATCTAGATAATAAAAGAGAAGTTTATTATCTTATTGAACAATTTAAAATAATTCTGATAATTTTTTACCTGCTTCAGAATATATAAAAATTGACAATGACTTATCTACAACTGAGATCCCTTCAAACTAAGAAATTTTAGCTACTCTT